GGATTTTGCCTAGGAATCCATTGTGAAATGCATCCCAAAAGACTACGTCAGACAAAGGTTTAGACAAGCTGGGAGAACAAAAATAAACCCTTAGGAAAAAAAACCTATGACGATTACACTACGTGACAATCGCGACTTTTAAAGTGAAACATTCCTCTCCTAACTCATATGTTTAACGGATACCTTGTATGGATAGGAACCCAAATGCTTTAAATCAAACTCAATCTGTCAGTCAGATAATTTTTATTACCCGGTTGGTTACATTAATAAGAAATTGGTGGTGATAACTGCAATCAAACTAGTATTAAAACGCAAGAGATAAATAAATAAAATTTTATGAATGAATTTTCAACCTATTTTCATGATTAATATGTGGTTGGGGCCGAGTGCTTAGTAAAAATAACCAACCTGAGATATCAAGAGTATGCTCCGTCGGCGTTTTCTTCTTTTTAAAGGGCGAAATGACCCAAGACCTGGCTTGTCCTCCCTTCATCTGCTCTGGCTTGTTCATTCTGGTAGTCATCTGTTCTAGCCTTTGGTTAGCCTTGGGCAGAGGGTCCCGTCGCATAAGTGGTGGGGTTAAGGCTACTTGTGTATTCGTCAGAGTCGCAGAATCTGCTGAGTCATTATCAATCTCCAAAGAAATACCATCTATATTATCACTGTTTCGTATAACAGAGTTTTCATGTACGGATTCGGGTCGATTGTCTAAATCAGCAACTCTATTTCTTTCATTACTGACATCCTCATTGTCGCTGGATGCCTCATATCCCCGTATTGAATCGCGCTCTCCTGCATCTTCTTCAACCTCTAATTGATGCACTTGCTGTTCTTTTTTTCCTTCTAACTCATCCTGTATATCGTGCTCAAAATCTTCACTAGCTTCATTATCCTCCTCCTCTTCTTCAGGCCCACCCTCAGAGGGGAATAACTCTCGCCCACAAAGATCAGCATATATTTCTGAGCGGAACAATGACTCTGTAAGATTGTCAACAGACTGACAGGCTGGGGAGTTTATATAATTCAGTGAAAAGGCAAGATTGGGTGATCCAAAATGATGGAGAAAGATATATTTCGGTTGTGTGCGTGGAAATGTAGATAAATTTGTGAGATTGTTAGACGGCACATGAATTAACGTGGATATATGCGAGCTTGATAAAATGGGAAAAAGTACATGATGCTAGGGAAAGAGTATGCTTTAATTAGAAAAGAGTTTCGGTTGCCAATGCGTTAAGAAAGCATGATTAGATATTTTGATTTTGCTGAAATAAAGGCCAGAGATGCATCGAAGAGAATGAAGTGGGAAATAGTAAGATGTAATGATAGGAATTAAGAAAAGGAAAATAAATTTAACGGCATTGGTTCCCATACATAAAATTGTATTAAAATATAATTAAATTTGTATTTAAGCCAGATACAAGCAAAGTAAACCATAAAGATTAAGACTGAGAGGCGATTATGCCAGGAAATAAGTATGACGCTAAAAGAAGCTTAAATCGCATCTTATTTCGAAAAAAGTAGCAAACAATTGCAAATAGCAGTGGTCTGACCTTTTCACAACTTGGTCGTGTTGTCAGGGGGGCTTAATCGGACGGACCTCATCCGAAAACCTCTGCTATAGTAATTATGATAAAGCCCAGCGTTAAACCGTAGACTTGGTACATTGCCAGACGTTTCAACGTTAATGCAGTTGTCATTGCCAGCTAGTCTTGCAACGCAAAGCTACAACCTGTCAAATAGACAAGTAAGGCCAGTCCATTTACCAATATTCTGCCGAATATTTTCGTTATCACTGGTTGTTCTGTTCTGGCACGTCTAGATACTTGTTAAGGTTACTTTAATTTGGAGTAAATGTTTGTTTCACTTGAAATTGAATATTAGAATAAAAATTTATGGCATATAAAATCTGCAAGGCCTGAATTGTGCGCGTGCCTCATGGATTAGACTAGTCATTTTATCATTAGTTAAATCATCGGAAGAATTTTTCTTTGATATTTTCGCATTGACGCTGAGTCCAGAAAAAAATTACATTTGAGCGATACATGATAACGACATTCTAGTAGGAAATATAGAACGGCTAAATGATTGTCATACTCCAGATCAAAGTAAACGTGATGAAAAGACTGAAATGTGTTAAAATCTCAAACAAGTGGCTGAATGAATCGCAATCAAAGCCCATAAAAGTGTCATCTAAATAAAACGGTAGGATTCCTTTTTTCGGTAAGATGGCCAACAGTGAACCTTGCCTTGAGAAAAGACATAAAAATGCTAGTTAATGAGATGCCTGGTTGGCTTAGCCACCTCATCGATTTAGAGCGAATAATAGCATTAAATGTTTTTAACTACTCTCCCTTTATTTTTTTAAATATTTGAACCTTGATAATTTCAATAATTAAGTCAAGCTTAATTTCGATGAATATATGTAGGGTGGGATCATGATATTATGTTTTAGCTTTTCTCATTGAAGATCCGCATAAAAAAGAAGGGCTTTTAAAGGTAACATTTTTCCAATAAATTTATAACTTACATTTCTGTTTAACCACAACTGAGCCAGCTTACGAAAATAAAAATTAATCATGGACTGGATGGGCCTAAATAGGGGAGCCATTTTAGTGCATTTTCAGCTTCTGTTAAAAAAACTCCTGAAGGTTGATTAC